AAAAAGAAAAGCCCGGCCGACGATGCAGGCAGACGCTGCGGCCTCAAGAAAGGACGTCTAAGCGATAAAAAAAAAAAAAAAAAAAAAAAAAATTTTGCCAGCAAGGTACGGGCACCCCGGGCTGGCACACAGGGACACCCTCCTTTTGCATTCCCAAGAAACTCCCCACCCTCTAGATTTCATCAAGGCTTCAGCATCTCACCACCTCGCACTGTATTGCCTCCTTTTTGGATAAGATGAGCTCTGGTTTCCAGACTGTTTCCCCAAAACCACTGTGCCTGAATCCACCTTGACTGGCCAGCTGGAGAGAAGGGCTCCACTGGTTCAGGAGGCTTCAAGCACGCTAGACTTAGCAAGGGCCAAACTGATGCTCAGTCTGATCTTTCTGCATTCACAGAGCTAGGGAAAACCCTGTTCCTAGTGTGTGAATGAATGGGAAGGGAACAGGGAAAAGGAAAAAAAAAAAACCCCAACAAAAAACCACAAACTCAAAAAACTAATCCATAAACAAAAGGAGATTTAAAAATGCAGCAGTTGCTGGATCAAATGGCATAAGAGGCTTAAATTGAAAGGAACAAGTCAGAGATTTTGCAGTATTTTTTTCAAATATTTTCAGATGGATTTTCTGAAGGCAGGGAAAATTGAAACAACCAAAGTGCTAAGAGGCATTTGGAATAAACACTAGGAGGAAATACTAATTTAAAGACTAGTTCCCAAGAGGCAGCCAAAACAAATTATTCCTTTCCTTGCTGCCACACAGCAGGAGCAAATATGCTTACAGTTTTATCCGGTACAGCAGGACTCAGAGGCTTAGGCATGGCTTTTCACACTGCCACGCACATCTGATGCCGCGTGCTTTAGGCCAGGGCAGAGCCCAGAATTTCTTACCAGCCCCTGCAATGGCCCCACCACCAGCGTGACCCATATCGATGCGCCTTCTACCCAGGCCAACAGCATCTCCCACCTCAAGTCATCATGGTTCTAGTAGAAGAAATGTGGCACTTATTAGGAACTTGGGCCACACTGGGCCTCAGGGGAAAGTCTCGTTGAACCCCATGTGGTTGCCAGCCCTCTGCATCATCCCTCACCACAATTCACTCCACCTGGGACACTTGTAGGTGCCATCAGAACTTGTAGTGGAGGACCAGCACCCCAGGAGAGGCCAGGGTCACCATTGACTCCTGGTCAGTCTCCTGGCCACCATGGCAACAGGATGGCAGGGGGCTACATGAAGGACCAAAACAAGTCCTGCAGTGGAGACTCAGCCTGGAAGTCCCTGTTTCAAACACTTGCTCTGGTTTTGGTCCTGGGTCTCCTCCTGTCCCAGCTGTCAGGGTGGGAGTGCTTGGGACTGTGCATCCAGAAGAAGTGTCACCTAGCATTGCAGTCACTGCTATATTCATACATGAGCAGAATATATGTCTTATACATATACACATGCACGTTATCGCAGACCACAAGATAACAAAGCTCCACAAGAATGCTGTATATTAGTACATAAAGTCTTTATCTTATTTAATCATTAAACACGCAGCCTCTTTATCACCCTATAAATGGCTATTCCAAACTCCCCTGCGAGCGGCAGCTTCACATGCGAGTGCCTGCCTCCTTGCTTGCTGCCTGGGAACATCAAAACCAGGGTCAAGGCGGGTTGCAGTGCTCTGCTCCCTGGGAGCACCGAGAAGGGGCTGGGCACCAGAGGTATTTGGGGGCTCTGGCTCCAGCCCTGGGAGCTTCAGGGCTGATGCCTCGCTGTCAGGGCAGGGGTCAGTCTGCTTGCCAAGGGGCATATTTGTTTCACCAAAAATAGGTACAGAAAACCAGGAACATGACTCCCCTCAAAAGCGTCCCAGTTGTCTCTCAGTCGCTGGGCTGATGAGCCACCCCATGCTGTCCCACCGTGGGGGCTGGCACAGGGACCTCATTTCAGTTCCCCCCACTGGTGCACAACACAGTACGTGGTCTTCAGTTTGCACCAGGTCTCTCATGTAAATACATTGAGCAAGCAATCCCTCCCAAATCTTGCCCAGCACTCCAAACACAACCAGCACAAGTAACGTGCCAAATCTATGCCCTGAGGAGCACAAGTACTGTTGCCTCTGTAAGTAGCGAGGATGCATAAAGGAGGGGGCAGCCTGGTTCACATAGGACCTGCCTTTAAGAGTATTCGCCCGTGCTGTAACCCAGGGCAGGAGGGCAGCAATGCAGGTCTGGCGCAAGCCTCCTCTCAGCTCCTCTCTGCCCCAAGCACAGTAGGGACTTCTGTCTTTTACAGGACATTTTCAAACACACTTTAAAGGGTTAAACCTCAGGGTTTGAATCCCAGGCTAAAATCCTGATCAGACAGAGATTTTCTGCTTGAGAATAGCACACCCTTTCTATGCTACCTGTGTGTTTTATCAAGAAACCCCTGTAAACACAGACAAAGCACTTGGCAAGTTTTAAAGAAAACACTTAAGGCTTTGTATGTACCAGCTTTTCCCCTCTTATCACAGTCATAAATACTGAAATGCAACTTCACCAGCATAGTCACCCTCTGGGATCCGAGCACAGACACCATCTTCTTCCTGGATCCCCGCTCAGGACAAGGATGCTCCATGCAGGGTACCAGCATTGCTTGTGCATGTCCCAGCCAGGCACCTCAAACCAGCAAACGACAGACGAGCCCCCTAGCGAGCACAGCCCAGGCAGCAGGCTGTGAACAAGGTGAGCCCCCACTGCATGGAAATAGGGGTCAAAGCCCTCCCTTTAGGGTATTGGACTATTTTGTAAAGGCATTCACCTCAAGTCTTGGTAAGACTCTTGCTCTACATACTTCTGCCCCCCTGCAGCCCAGTTGAGCCCTGAAGCTGTCCTTAGCACTACTACTACTGCCTCCTGGAGATGCCTGCATTTGGGGCCTCAACAAGCCAAAAATGTGCTGACAAGCTTCAGGAACAGCAGCTAAGCATGGCCAGCAATTACCCCACCAGGCTGCAAGCCCCCAGGCAGCCCTTATAGCCCAGGAACAACCTGAATCCCTGCATGTGGTATGGACATCACACCTCCACCTCCCTGGCTCTGCCATGCCAGGGGCATGCAGTCAGGCTGACCACAATAGCCCAAGGGGAGGGAGCTGCAGGGCACCATGCTGGCCCCAAACTGCTTTTAGGGGAGAGCTGCAAATAGGGCTCAGGAGGGTAACGAGGTGCTGGGGGACGAGCTTGGGGGAGTTCCTAATGAA